AAAAAAAAAAAAAAGAAACTTGCCCTAGATAACACAGCTAGCAAGTAGAAGACCCAACATTCATATCCTTGCTGTTTGAGGATTTAAGAATGCCATTTGGCTTTTGAGAGAATATGGGTATTTTAACCTAAAACTTAATTTAGGGATTTTCCTACCCGACATTCTCAAAGCTTACTCCAGATCACTAGTTTCACAAGTATTCCAGTAATAAATGTTTACATAATCTAATTAATCAGTGGGGAAAACACAAAATAATTGTTCCTTTACTGTTTGAAATTGATTGTGCAAAGTTGCATAACAAAGATTTTAAGAAATCCTTAATGCGGAGATTTCAGTCCATGTTTTCCATAACTGACAAGAAAACTCATATTGAACATATATTTCACATCCCTTGAAATGTGTATTACTTAGACCATAAGTGTTAAGTCTAACTCTACTTTTAATATTTGGGAGATAGACATTTGAAACCCTTATGCCTTTATGCCCACTAGTCTTCTCTTCCAAACCTGTACATGTTTTATCTTACTTAGCTTTTAAGTCAACATGTAGGCATGATCATACTGCTCTTTTCAGTTTCTTACAGATTTCTATTTTTATTTGACCTTTCAATAGCAGATTTCTCATTGTAGTGAAGATCCATGGACGAAACAGATTTACTCATCTGGTTAAATTAATGCAAAGAATGTACAATAGCATAGTCATTTAAGTAATATTGAAACTTTTATTAAATATTCCACTAATCCTGAGATATTTAATATCTAAAAATGAGAGACACAGAATCAACCAACAAACAAAATCTGAAGGAGAGTCCTAAGTATCTAAATTATGGGATAGGTGATAACCATAGATCATAAGTATATTTCACCATCATGCTTATTATATGATAGGGAGTTAATCATATGCATTTCAACACAAATTTATATATATTTATTTTCTGATTACTGCATGCTCTGACATTTCAGTTCCTCCGAAGATATATGACATCTCAAGTGATATGACCATCAATGAAGGCACCAATGTCACCCTTACCTGTTTGGCCACCGGAAAACCAGAGCCTTCCATTTCTTGGCGGCACATCTCCCCGTCAGGTAAAGCAGGAATTTACTAGCATTGTTTGTTATGTGTAACATCATTCTGTATCCTAATTGTTTAGAAATTAGTTTATTTTTTAGACTTTTTTCATAAAGGGGGGCATGTATTTCATGTTTATTTTATACCCCAAACCATTGTTATTCACAAAATTAAATGAGCATTTTCTGTGAGAGCCCAGAATAGAAGCTATGTCTCCTGATTCCTGGTTAAGGTTATTTTCATTTCAGTATTTTGGATAATCACAAATCAGTAGACAAAGACTCCAATGGAAATATCACAAGAGAGATATCTTTATTTAACTGTGTAAGGCTTTTATTCAATTGGCATTCACATGTTAATAGGCCAGCATGAGCTGCTCAGGTAATCAGGGGAGAATGAAATTATACAAATTATGAGGTTGCTGGGTCTAATTTCAAACTGCAAATCAGAATCAAGGATTTGGCAGTTAGAATTAAATTTTAACTGATGAGGGATCTAAAACCCCAAGAGTTTAAGTAACTTCTGCAAGATGGTATAGTTAGGTGAAATTAAGAGATATAACATGTTTATGGTTTTTTGTTTTATGTTTGTGTGTGTGTGTGTGTGTGTGTGTGTGTATCTGCTACCATCCACATCTCCTACAAAGATTAAGTCAACCTCAGGAACCTGGGGATAATTATCAGCAAAATAAAGGTTTTCATAGCCACAACACTAATAAAATAAAGTACATAAACTTTAAATGTCTGAACTATATAGCTTTGAGTATGCCATGAAAGTAAGAGTGGTTTTTAATGAATAGGACTCCCCGGCATATTTAAGATAAATGATTTTCTTTTTATTTGTTTCATATTCTGATGGCTATAGCTCCAGTAAGGCTGGTGTGATGAAATTACTTTTTTTGTGCATACAAAACGTGGGTACAGGCCAGAGATGCAGGGGCAGTGAGAGGATTCACCAGAGACAGAGTAGGGAGCAGAACAGGCCGACTGAGGATACACTGCTGAGGGGAGCAGTGGGCGGGTCAGGAGAGGTCTGTCCCATGTGGATCACCTCTGGGGCAGGGATGGAACTCATGCTGAAGTGGCTTTAGCTTCTTAGTGCTGTGCTTTAACCTGCTGTGCCATCAGAGAGGTCCCGATAAAATTACTTTTTAAGAAATAGAAAGTCACATTATATGTAGGTGTAGAAAGAGTACAGTCAGAGCATTTATTTGATCTGCTAATGCTTTCTTTAATATCACTTACCTTTAAGTGTCTTTTAGTTTCCTCATGTAAGCACTAGGTCTAATGAGACTTACGTCATATGCTTAATATTACACTTAATGTAAGAGAAATCAATGTAATAGCATTATAAACTTATATAATATGCATTATGGGCTCTGTAATACTTTGAAAGCATGAATCTGTTCTTGACTTGCAAACACTTCACTCTCTAGAGCAAGTATAGATTCATTAAACTGGTAAAAGAACACTGAACTAGTGGCAGAACTCATTGTGGTTGTGAGACAGTAACAGTAAAATGCATGAGCTTCAATCACAACTTCCTTATTCAATTAGGAGTGTATAGAATAAGGACATCTGAGTTTAACCAAAACTGCAAATCTCTCAAACTCAGTTGCCATCAGCTAGTTTCTTGCTTTCCAAAAATCAAATGATAATCTCTATTGTGAGACTCAAAAAAGATAATAGGCATAAATATTCATTTAAAAATATATAAGGTGATATGCAAATGTCTGACTGATTTTTAATCATCTTTCCAGGGATTTAAATCTGATATGATAATATAATTTTTATAAGAATGAAGCACATAATCTCCATCATCACATAATTTAAGATTAATATTTTAGATTTACACCTCCTGCTTTGCAATTCTTCTTATGCATAATCTTTTTTTTAATGGTTGGATGCATTTAGTTTAATTAAATATCCTGAATTTTGGTTAGTAAAGTTGTTACAATAATGATAATGGATAACATCATGAAGTTGAAATGAGACAGATTAGGTTTATAAATTAAACTGTGCTTAGATTTGTTTTTTTCTAATGGTGTCATACAGAGCAAATGAGTAAAATTAGCATAAATATTAACTATTATACAATTAATAGCTAGACATGACTAATATTTTATAAATGCTTCCAATAATCTCAAAATATAGCTTGTTAATTGTTTATATTCAAGTACATAGCTATGTGGATTTTCTGCTTTAAGAAACATCTCTGATAATTCTTTTAGGTTTTTTAAGTTAGGTTTTTACATTTGAAAGCAGACATGTAAAAATTTATGATCTCTTTATATTTTACTTCAAAATACCAATATTTTGTGTATACCCTTGCTTTATCAGAAAAGAAAACATCTCAAAATAGTGGTCACTATGTGAGCAATGTTTAGTATTAAAAACAAATATAGTTCTATTCCCTGCCAATATTTGAAGCAATGGGTAATTTTTATTTTTTTAAATGTTTATTTATGCTTTCAGAACTGGGGTATGGACAGTGCGCGTACTCACCAGAAATAGAGTGGGGAGCAGAACAGGCCGACTGACAAAGTACACTGCTGAGGGGAACAGCAGGAGAGACAGGAAAAGTTGCTGCACTGTGTCATGTAGGTTACCTCCCGGACCAGGGGTGGAACTCATGCTGAAGCTTCTGTTGCTAGCTTCATAGTGTTGCATTTTAACTGGTTGTACCAATAGGGAGGGCCCCTGCATAATTTTTATACATGCGTCATTTCTTTACGAAATCGTATCTGTACCTTAAGTAATTCATGCTGTCTCACTGATGGCCTATTCTAGTTTTAAGAATCAATCAAAATGTCTAATCACAGAATTATAATTAGAATTTCTCCTGAATCTACAGAAAATTGGACTGTGGGTCCAACCACATTAGACATACCAAACCAGACACTGAACCAACTAAAATTGCCCTTGCACTTCATTTATACCAGTAACTTCTGTTTTGTTAGAAAAAAAAAATTATTGCAGGAATAATACAATTAACATCCTGAATCTTCAGATTTATCCATTAATTTCTCATTAATGGCTTTACAAGACATTGCATATACCATTTGCATATACCTTTCTCCAGAAATGCATTTCTGAGAAATAAGGACATTCTCTCCCATAAGTGCGATGGTTTTCAGCTTTCACATATGTCATATGTAACATTAGTATTATACTTGTAACTCATTACTATCCATGTTCCAATATTTTCAACTGATAAATAGTCTTTTATAAAATTCTTTCCCCTCCAATATCAAATCAAAGTGTTATGTTTAGTTGCCACATCACTTTAATCCTCTTGAATATAGGGCTTAATTTCTTCTTCTTTGTTATTTCAGCATATTGACATTTTTCAACAACACAACTGTCCCCTTTTCAGTAACATATTTCTCATTTTGGGTATGACTCATTTTCTCATAATTAGCTTCCAGTTTTTGCCCATCTGGAGCTAAATAAGTGAAGTTTTTGCCTTCACAGGGGATGATATCCAGAGGCACAGGATATCCATCTGTCCCTGATTTGTGTTGTTAATTCTGATTATACAGTCAAGGTGTTGTCTGATTTTTATACCAGATAGCTTCATTTTTTTTTTGTTTTTTCAGCATGCTTCCAATAAGCAGCAGGGAGAGATTCTACATAACATAAAAATATCTGCAACTTAGCAAATATTGCCATAGATTTAGTATTTATGGTGATTCTCTCATGGACCAGATTTACTATGATATTTACAAAAATTTTTCTTTAACTTCAGCAACCCTTCTACTTTTCCCAGTTAACAGTTGGCATTCTACTACAAACAAGTATCTCTTGTGTTTTTATTTTTTGTTTATTTAGCAATTCATTATGGCATGGACTCCAAACTTTTACAATTTGTTTATATGCATTACTGTTACCAGTCAATGATACTGTGTCCCTATGGTATGCCTCATCATTTTTATTTAACACTTTTCATCTTTGGGGCATGAAAATTAGTCTCAGGCCATCCTTGTTTGCCCCAGCTTTGAAATCAATCATTTCACTCTACTTTAAATGACTGGATGTAAAAAAATAAATAAATAAATAAAACGAAATTTAAAAAAAATAAGGAATTGTAAATAAATAAAATAACTTCAATGCTAGGACTAGACTTTATTTTGCTTAGTTTTATCTAACAAGAGTGAAACAGGATTTGGAACTATGTGGGATTCCAAAAATTCTTACAGAATTAGTGGTATAAATTATGTCAAGAAAGACACATAGAGGAATTATCACTAGATAGTTAGAGAAGCTCATACATCTTTACTTACAAGAGGTCTTACTATTTTGACTAATATCCTTATTTATTTGGAAAATTTTCATGGCTTTTAAAAAATTTCTAATTGGGGTTCTCCCTGATGGTGCAGTGGGTTAAAGTACTGCATTGTGAAGTTCTTTGAAGCCACTGCAGCAAGAGTTTGATCCCCAGCCAAGGAGCTGACACACATGGCATGGCAGACCTCCTCTGACCCACCCACTGCAACCATCTGCAGTGTACTTTGTCAATCTGCAGTGTACTTTGTCAGTCTGTCTGTTCTGCTCCCCATTCTATCTCTGGTGAATCCTCTCACTGCCCCTGCACCTGTGGCCTGTACCCCAGTTCTGCAAGCATAAATAAATTAATCTTTAAGAAAATCCTAATATAAGGGGCATGTTTCCTTTTTCATTCCTACCAGTAATTTCTCAGTAATCAATTGTGCTGGTATAGCACAGTGATTAATATCATAAACTTTGATTATAAGTTAGAATTGGATTTGATATCCAGTTATTCCTGTTACCAACTTTAAACTGTTTGATAAAATTAATGTCTTTAAACTTTAAGCTTAAAACATAAAATGGGGCCCTCCCTGATGGCGCAGCGGGTTAAAGCACAGCACTGAGAATCTAAAGCCACTTCCTCATGAGTTCGATTCCCGCCTGCCCCGGAGGCGACCACATGGCGTGGCAGACCTCTCCTGACCCGCCCGCTGCTCCCCTTAGCAGTGTACTTCGTCGATCTGCCTGTT